GTCTTCGAGTTATTTATACTCGCCCAGTCGGATTTTTACCGATCAATCACGAGTTTGGTCTTCGAGTTATTTATACTCGCCCAGTCAGATTTTTACCGATCAATCACGAGTTTGGTCTTCGAGTTATTTATACTCGCCCAGTCGGATTTTTACCGATCAATCACGAGTTTGTTGCCTTTAAATAACACACCTGTCGATCATGGAAAGATAAAAGAGATGGTATTTAATAAAATGGGAATTATTGGTTAGTGGTGCCTCGTTAAAAACCTTCTCAGCAAAAAATCCTTTAACATTTTTATAGGGAATAAAAATCTCTTGGGACGACCCCAGCTTCTCGGCTTTCAGCTGCCCTTTTGTTGATTTGTCCTTCCTCCGTCTTGATGTGACTCAGGGCAAAAGCTCTCACTTCCGACATCGTTTGACAATTTGCTCTTTCGAGCGCGATGTTGAAAGCTCCAGACCTTAGACCCTTCTGGAATGCAATGACAGCCATCCTTTCATCCAACGATGCTATCCTCAAGGCGACCTCGTTGAACCTTTGCAGAAATTCCTTCAGCGACTCCTCGCGTTGCTGTTTGAGGTCGAACAAGTCCGACGTGATCGGCGGTTTCTTCTTGTTAGCGGCAAACAGTGCCATGAAAAGCCGGCTAAAGACATCGAAGTCGGTGATTGATCGGTCAGGGAGACCACTAAACCAATCAAGTGCTGCCTTCTTGAGCGTGCCCATGAACAATTTGTAACGGACTTCCATACTCCCTCCACAAATCAACATTTGAGCTCAGATATCCGTCAAGTGCTGACTGGGATCCTGCGTTCTATCAAAAGGTTCCACCTGGGGGACCCGATGGTCTCTCGGGATGATCTCGACCTCTATAGCCTCCGAGAAACGAAATTGGGTGTCTACACTGGCCTATCTCATCATGGCCGAGCACAGCCTAGCCGATCTCACCTTGGCCGAGTGCAGCCTGGCCGATATCACCATGGCCGAGCACACCTTGGGCGATCTCACCATGGTCGAGCACAGCCTGGCCGATCTCACCATGGCCGAGCGCACCCTGGACGATTTCACCATGGTCGAACACAGCCTGGCCGATCTCATCATGGTCGAGCGCCCCCTGGTCGACCATACCCAGGCCGGGCTAACTCACTTTGTTGGATAAGGTCGGTCTTTTCACCGAGACAACTCCTGTGAGGGTGGTCGGGTCATATTCTAATCGGGCTCACCCGTATTACAAAATAGGATCGGTCCTTTGCCGAGTGACCCCTCGTGGCAGGGTGACGTGGGTCTCGGTCCTTTTTCCCACGCCCATATCGGAAATAAGCCGAGATGGTACACTTGCCTTCCAGCCCTGAGCCTAAAAGGCGAAAGAGCTTAAGCAACCGCTCCTATGAATCGTATCGGAAATAGGCCGAGACGGTACACTTGCCTTCCAGCCCTGAGCCTAAAAGGCGAAAGAGTACAAAACTATTCTTAGCAAACTATATAAAAAAAATAAAAAAAAAAAAGTGTGTCATAGGATATTTATATAGAATTTCGTATTATTTATCAGCAAATTGTTCTGGATTTAATCTAAATCTAAATCTTATTAATATAAAGTTGATCGGTGAGTGAATCAAATAAAACTCATTTTTAAGTTTATTGAGAGCATTAAAGTTAATTTTTTTACTTGTAGGAATATTTGCAACAATTTTTAAACGATGTTCAGCTAGGTTAGACCCCTAAATTATATTATAGAGTAATATATAGAAACTGAGAGGAAAAAAATTGAAATAAACGTTATTTGACATTCAGTAAAACAATATTTTAGTTAAAAATGAAATGCAACTCATTTGCACTAAGCATGAAAGTAAATTGACCGTCATATTTCACCTTCTATATGTTAATACACGGTATATAAATTAAACTCTGCAATTAATAATTTTTAATTGTTATGGTAGAAATAAAAAAACAAAAAGATAATTATTTGGTTAGTAAAATTTGATTTAGTTCATTGAAAAAAAATAGAAAAAAGGAATATTTAGATTCAATAATAAAAATAATTACTTAACAAAAATTAGATTTTTTTATATCATATTATTAATACAAATTATCATTACACTATATCTAATTTGCATCATCATTCAATTCAATGACTTGATAAAACTCTGCTATTAAAATTGTCTAATCAATGAAAGCAAACAAGAACCATAAATATTCCTTTCTATGGGCAGAACAGAATTCATGACCGTATACAGTAAAACACCTATATGTTACCTATTTATCTATTTGTTTTCTCCCATAACATTTGTGCAAGGTATCCTTCGGCTTGAGACTATTAATATTTAACTATTTTCAGTAATGTATTTTTTTTTCTAATTATTCTTTTTCTTCATGCTTATTATTCGAGCACATGAGACTTTACTTAATGTAGTATTTGCTAAGAGGGAAAGGGAATGAAAGAAAAAAAATCCCTCTTTGCCTAAGTTTATCTCTTATTCAATATCGACAGATTTTTAAAGAAAATAAAGAAAACTTAAAATATTTTAAATATAATGCCTAAAATATCTTTTCTTATATTTTTAATTTAAAATTAAAAGAATACAAAGAAAAATAATTTTTAAAATTTTTCTCTCATTTTAAATCAAACAAAAAAAGGAGTTACTTCCCTTCAATTAAAATTCTTCTTCTCTCTTTCTTCTCTATTTCTCTTAATCAAAAAGAATTTTTATCTTTTTTCTTCCATTCTCCATTAAAATTCTTCTCCTCTGCACTTTTGAATTAGACAAACCCAAAGAGATATATACCAATTATGCTCGAACATGTAACTTGGTAGTATGTTATATGTTAATTATTTAATGAATATTTAAAATTTACAAAAATTGTGATCTAAATATAACAATACTACCTAACAGTATACAACAAATTATGAAGCAGATATCCTAGATTTTGGATTTCTTGCAGAAAAAAATCTCATTACATAATGATTTACAGCATCTCTTCTCTTTGATGATTACATGCTGTCAAATTCATATTACTTCGGTTCTTTACAGGGATACATTGATGTACATTATCAAAATTTAATTCAACCACTTTACCTTCCTGGATATAAAGAAGAGATGAAGAGTTTAATTTATGCAAACCATCATTGTAAAACACTTTTACACATACATCCAATAAAACATTATCTTATCACCACATCATATTACTAAACAAGATGATGTGATAAAATGATAAAATCTTGTTGAATATATGTAACGGTGTATAAAAATTAAACTCATCAGAGAAACTTGGTTCATCATAAAGCAATAGAAGTCAATGTTTTCCATTTACTTCTATTGCAGGACTTGTCTTCCTCCTTCTCTCCCGAAAGCTTCGGCATGAAGACAAGCTTGGCATGCACCCCTGCAAAGACTTAACTGATTTCTCTCTAATGGAAACACGATCCTCACTCATGGTTCTTTCACTGCTACAAGCAGAGTTTGCCCCATAAGGGGTACAGTGTGCAGATTTAGGCATAACATCTTTTATAGTTGGTGGTTTGGCTTCTTTGTTGTGTCCATAGCCATCATCAACTTGGTCATCTTTGACACTTTCTCGAAAAAGCTCTAGCAGTTTCTTTTTCTTTTCTGGGGATGGTTCAGCCTTGGAACTAGGAATTCTATTCCTAGAAGGGGTGCCAAAAGTGTGGTGAACTGGGGTGGTCCCTCGAGATGGTGTGAAGTCTGCATAAAGTGAAACAGACAATGTAGCTAAAGGTGGTTAGAGAGAGTGATGAAAATAGTTGAAATAGAAACTAAAGAAATAAAAGGTAAAACAATGTATCTAAAATTTCTTAAAAGAGTTCTTTTTTCATTAACTTTAAAGTACAAAATGACTTATTATGATACAATGTCCATGACAAGCTAAACTGTCTTGTTATAAATCATGACAACAATATGTTTACCATCACATATTATGATGAGATAAATTTTTGTGGATCATGTAAAAGTTTTTACACCATCAACAAATCGAAAATTATGCTAAATATGTGTTAGGTAACTCCTATCTGTTAGTTATGTTAGTTAGTTTAGATTATTCTTAACAGTATGATTTTTAAAGCAGTTATCCTGAAAGTCAATAAAATTCTCATAGATAACGATTTCTAATTGTTTGAAAATCTATGCATATTATTTTCTCTATTATTATTACTCAAAAAGTCTAGCCTCTGCTCATATTTCATATCATATACTAAAACAAAATGGCCAGTAAAGTAAGATACTTTGCCAGCAAAAGTACAAGGAAAGAGAGTTGCAAGGGATCCTTACCACCATTGACACTATAGAAATCCTCTTCACAATCTGAGTCTAACCAGGGTTTAGAATCAAAAAATGCTTCCTCTTTGCTACCTGTGAAGGGAAAAAAAATGGCTTGTGAGTGGCAAACTTTTATAAGAAACCTACGGGAAAGTAATAACAAATGAAATAATAACAAGTAATGGTTAATCCAGCCAATTGAGTTGACATTGACAAGATTGATTATTGGGTTTCAATTCTTTGGAATGTAACAAGTAGGTGGGAAAAGAAACAAACTCTTATTCCTAAATACTTCCTCCATTGATTAGTAGTTCACAAGAATGAAGTACTCACTTCCTTTTTATGGGGAATTAGACAAGGCACAGAGAGTTCTATAAATATGGTTGATGTTGGTTTTTAATCACAATTAGAGTTTTACTATATATTAATGCAAAGTAAAACTCCAATTCTAATTAGAGAACAATATCAATCATATTTTTGATAGTGTACTTAAGTTTTGTCCTTAGATAAATGGTATTCAACTACCGGTTAGGTCAACTGGATGACAAGTTAAGGTTGGTTGAACTTTCTGGAGGAAATTATCAAGATGAATATCATTCATGTCACATAATATATAGGATCTCAAACATAATACAGAGACATTAACATTGTCTAATCAAGCACTTGAACCAATTTGACAACTTGTAGGAATCATTTATATGCAACATCTCAGAATCAATCAAATTTATTTCTACTCTAGTGTGTTAGGTAGGCATAGATACAGCTCAACAGAAAGAAACAAGGTATGTGGTTAAGGAGGAATAAATGCTGCAAAAAGTTTAGAGAAGACAGATTACAATACTTGGACACAGGACAGAGGACATCAATACTTTATTACTTCTCTTTCTTTTTTTTTTTTTCTGTAAGAAAGCATTAGAGGAAAGACTACTGCTACGAAAAGTATGGAAGTTTATTGTCACTCATAATAAGCATCAACCACAAACAATAGTGAGAACAGTTTAAATAAATATCAGAAGAAAAAAAAATAATCATATGAAATTAAATTAACAAGTAGAATCCCAGGCATATCATGAATTCAACCAGCAGCATCACTGAAACAACCATGGTGCATGAAATTCTAATATCTGTTTGTAAATATACTGTTCTAATCTGCAAATACTGTTTGTGAATGTAAGCCTAATCCTAAGCCCAGATTGAATCTGGCAAGATATATTGACTGCAGCTACTTTATAAGCACAGTTATTTTATTTTATTTAATTTTGGTTATCGATATTGTAAAAAAAAAAAAAGAATTATAAGACTCACATATCTTGCTCATCTAACTGCACCCTTTTATTGTTTATAAGCACAGTTCAACAAAATGAATAAACATTAAATGTTGTTGTCCCGTCAATCTCTTTCATTGTCCACCATAACATATAAACTCTAATGTATTAGTAAACAAATATTTATATAAAGATAAAGATTGAATAGACCGTATATCTTGAATGAAAATAAAATCCTCATCTTCATTTTCATGTTCGTATACACAATAAAATAAAAATCATTGAAACCAGTGAGAGACATTCACAGCATTTGCAGAGATGGATGGGACCCATTTATTCCACGTGTCTTCCTCCTGTTGGAGGATGCCACCGGCTACAGAGGATCCAATAATTTTCCACTTGGGTATCATAACTTAATCATAGATAAATACAACAAAAAATTGAATCAAATCAAATTAAATATGTAAATCAATTACAAGATCAATCATGAATAAAGATGCCCAACAGATCACCCCATAGCAGAAGCTAGAAGAAACCAGAACACGCTTCCCAAAAAATGCAAACACCATCAAGAGTAGCATCACACATGCAAATAATTCTTTTGGAAAATATAAAGAAGAAAAAAAGGATTTTTTTTTCAAACACATTCTTAGGATCACATGTTAAAACGAAATCTCCAGAAACATTCACATATTAATAAAAGCAGCATCTTCATATGAAGATACCAACAAGAATTTAAAGAAGGCTCCACAACTGCAATTTGAGTCACAACTCAGAACCTTAAAAATTTTGGAGCCACTAAAACTGCATAGCTGCATTTGTCATAACCCAAGAATTGTTCTCCAATTTAAATATGCAGTACACGATCAATCTCCCCATTTAACATGAGATTTCCAACATATTATCTTACCACAAACATTTGTGATGAGTGACACAATACACCTTACAACAATCATTAAGATAAACTCTCTTTAGATGTGATCTAAAAGAGAAAACTCTTAAAAATACTAGTAGTGTTTTATCTAAACTTGTTCATAGACTTTGCTGCCATTTTACAATTTGGGCTTCCGACATCCAAACTGATGAGGAAAACAACAAACGAGCGAACAACAGCCAGAAACACAAATCATGAAACAACAAACGAACAAGGATGGTACCTTGGTCAGTGAAGGTGGTCGTTGACCGAGCCGTTGACAATCCAAAGTTCCCATTTTGGGGTTGTCCCTTGATGGGTGATGGAGCAATCGCAAGCTTCTCAGATTTGGAACAAAACGAGAGTTTGAGCTTCATGTCTTTGTTAGCCTTTCTGGGGACCGAAGAACACGAACCCATCACTAAAAAGCCAGAAACTTTATGATCATCACGGTCACGGGGTGACCCAGAAACGAGAGTTATTACTCAGCACTTGCTTCAGAGAGAGAAAGTGATGCAAAATGTGCAAAGGGTGTGAATAAGTGTATTATGTGTGTGTGTGTGTGTGTTTGGTGTTATACTTAAGGGGTAGGGAAAAATTGTGTTTGTGAGAAAGATGAAAGTTAAAAGAGGATTGGCCTTGAAAGTGAAGTTATGTGAACAATGTTGTTGTGTTGTGTGGTGGTGCCTGGTGCTACCAAGCGTGTCATGCTAAGGTATGTATATACTACCGTAGTGGATGTGGGTCCATCAGAAAATGAATAGTTTGTTGGAGTTGGAGAAAGAAAGGTGTGAATCATGGTGAATGTGATTAGAATAATTGCTTTCATCTTCCTTTCTATGTCATTAATGTGCACAAAACTAATAATATTACCCGCAAGAAAGAACAACCTCTTTCTCTATAATTTGAGTTTTATCATCATGCATTTGTTAACTAACTAGACAATACTCTATTTTATGATTTTTATTTATTTATTATAAAAAATAAATTAACCTGTTATTATAAATGGTGGTGTGTAATTAATCATTAGAATTGAAAAACGGGATAAAGTAGGAAAAATATGAGATCAAATTTGATTTTCATTCCAAACATTTTTCTAATACTTCTTATTTTAAAAAAAAAAAAATAGTAATTTGTGATTGTATGATAGTATAAATTTTTAAGTATATCATTATTTTCTATTATAAGTCGTAGCTCCTAGTTTTTACCCCGGAAAATAAACAGTTTCAAATGTTTTTTTTTTCTTCAGATTTTTAGTCATTAGAAATCATGTAATGGGTGATTATTATTTGTACAAATGGTACTTTAAACTTGAACAGTATATATATATATATATGACAATAGTTATCATATTTACAGTGTTTTCAGAATCCTCTATTTAATGAAAGCATTTTTAGATCATTTCCTTAGAGATGTTTTTTTATTATAAATTTTTAGAATAAATTATTAATAATTAAAAGTAATTTTTTCACATTTTAAACTATTTATCAAAATTTTAAAATATAATTTATATTTTAAAATATTTATTTATATATATTTAAAATATAATATGATTCATATATTCTAATATAATATTATTTATTTACAGTTTATTATAAGTTTTAATTATATATAATAATATTTTACATGTGAAAAATGTTAAAGTACTAATTTTATTATACATTCTTGATATAGAAGAAAGAATTAGAAGAACAGAACAGAAAGTATATAAAAAATAAAGAAAAAAAATAGAGTAAAAATAGAAGTTGTTTAATTGAAGAAAAATATAATAAAATTTGACTTTCTAAGATAATTGCTTTAAAATATTATTATTATTATTATTATTAATTATATTGCATTAAATATTTATTATTAATTATATTATTATTAATTTCTTCTTGACTTTATTTTTAAGACTATTTTACCATTTATTAATTATACACTATCTTACTCGACCTTTTACCAACGCGCACTCTTCGTACTGTTGTCTTTTTATTTATGTGATAGTCAAATAACAAATCACTCGCTCCTTTGTTATTTCTATCTTTTATTTAATGTTTAGTTTTTAAACCAAATTTATGAATATACAAAATGTCTCTTTTTTTACTGGTATATTATTAATTATACATGAAGAAAAACCATAATCGGTTACTGAGGAGAGAGGTCATAATTGTGCAGAGTCCCTGCTAGTTATATTTTGTATTTTTTTATTTTTTTAAATTATTCATTATACTTCTGTAATTACTCAAAACTCTTCACCTCTCTAATTATTAATATCTTACTCGTATGTACTTAAATTATTTTTATCTTTTATTATTTTACTGGAGGGATTAAGACATTTTGTGTCTCTAATAATTATATACTGACAACATATTAGAAAGTTATCTGTAATTATTCAGAGAATATATAAAAAAAAATTATATTTAAAGGGTATAATAGTCCACTAAAAAATAAAGACTAAAAGTGGTTATATATCTTAATATCCTCTTTATAATATGTATAAATTTTTATTTTTAAATATAATACATCTAGGCATGACGTGTATTATTTATGCTACAGTGATATTATCTTGATTTGAATAATTTTTTCATAATTGTTTTTGAATTAAAAATGCCGTTTCATTAGTTTAATGACATTTAATGTAATAAAATATCCATTACTATTAATAAAATATATTTACACTTCCTTTTATTTTATTTATTATGATATTTATTTAATTTTAAAAATATCCCTATAATGTATCAAAAACTCGTTATTAAGGAAACAAGGAACAAATTATTATAACAAAAAGGATTTTATTCATTACAAATTGATTTCATTGATTCTGAATAATTAAACTTATCCAAAGTTATTTGATTTACAAACATTTAAATTGACTCCAAACAGAATCAGATTTGTATTTCTTCCAATTTTATTAACTACTTTATTTAAATCAAATCAATTTATATTTCCCAACATTTTAAATAAAGAATTTTACTTAATCACCAAATTAACCTAAAAGATTTGCAATTATTTAGGAGAGCAAAATTGTGATAGTAGCGTGTAAATTTTTCTTTCCAAATTAGCTAGCTTGAATATATATATATGTTTATGTGCCACGGAAATTCTAATAATCTAAATCATATAAAAATATATATATATATATAAATTATATATATATATATATATATAATGAGTTAATCACGTATACATTATCAGTGTAAAAAATATGATTGATTGTCAGCGTAAAAAACTTTACACTGATAATATATAAACACTGATAATATATAAGTGTGATTCACTTATATATAATATAGTGAATGATGCCCCCGAATAGTCAAAACATGGTATTGTGTTATAGAAAGGAAAATTTGTCAAAATCAGAATCAATCGACAGTTGTTACCTAACGTTTGCTTGGGGCAGCCATAGGTTGACCTAATGACCCTAAGTTTCAGCGTTAAAAGCGAGTGCTATTTGTTAGATTAGTTTTTACGCGCGTTCATCATGTGGAATTAGTGTGCATAACAAATCATAAATTATATATATAACATATGAAATTCCCATTATTATCCCTCTTGTGAAGAAGCTTCATCATTTCGAATTAATCAGCATAATATATTCTCCATCACTAACTTATGCGTAATTTGTTTTGTGTGAACTGTGAAGGATCGAAGAATATATATATATAACTCTCAAATGTTATCAAGAAAAAGAAGAATGACCCAATATTTTATGTGAATTTAAGGACAATGCTGATGGGAATTTTCTGACTTCCAGATCTAGTGTCTCCATTTAACACTTGGAAATTCGTCCAGTTTTCATGGTCCACATTACAGGGGGCAACTCACATTTTGAAAGATAAAATATGAAACAAGAGGATTAGTAAGGCACTTGTTAACACTTTTTTAATATCATTGATTCATTATTAAAAATTATGGAATAATAGGTGAGATTTGTTAAACAAAAATAGAAATTTACATTATTCAATAAGTTTTACGAAATATTATTTTTAACTAATATTGAAGAATATATTTAAAAGATCAGTATGTGTCGATGTTACCAAAAACATTAATTGTTACCAAAAATAGAAGTATATAAATATATATGAGAAGAAGGATCCACTTATTTTAAGAGTAAATTTACTTAGACTTGTTTCATTTAATAATTTGTATTCTACATCAAATTTTAATAATTTAATTATTGAATTAAAAGTTCTTAATATATAAATCAAGTCTGTAATTTTTTTAAAAATTTGACAACTATTTGATACTACATTATATAAATTCAAATCAACGTATAAAATATTTTTATGATTATCTTTCAATTTGAATTTAATAAAATGGAGTATCAAATATCTTTTAAATTTTTTAAAAATTTTCAAACTTAATTCATGGATTAAGAACTTTTAATTCAATATTTGGATTGTTGAAATTCAATAAGACATGAGTTATTAAGTAGGGGCATTTGGTAAGGGAGAAGATTTTTCATACCTAGAATTAGAAATTACAAATTCTAGGAATCATGATTCCTATGAATAATTAAAATATGTTTGGTTACTCATAAAATTTCTTGAGAATATTCATACATGATTCCCAAAAAATTAAAGATTTATGATTGGTTACAATAATATATTTTTGGAGAGAAATAGAAGGAGAGAGATAGAGACAACATTACTAGAAAAGTGTTATTTTTTTTGCAAATTTTCTTGCAAAAAAATATTTGCAGAAAATTTTTGCGAATTTTCCTGCAAAAGAATATTTGCAGAAAATTTTTTGCGAATTTTCCTACAAAAAAAATATTCGCAGAAATTTTTTGCGAATTTTCCTACAAAAAATAATTTACAGATATTTCTTACAAATTTTGCTACAATTTTAATAATCATGGAAAAAAAAATTTCATGGTAAAAATTTGCAGAAAATATTGTAAGAATTTTATTTTGTTTCTTGCAGATTTTCTTGCAAAAATAAATTTGCAAGTAATGTTTACTAAATGGTAGAAAAATTTTGCAGGTAACTTTTCCTGCGGATTTTCTTGCAAATTTTAATTTGCAGGAAAAATAAAAAATATATTTAAATTAATAAGATTAATATTTTAATAAATCTTCAAGTCCCACATCGATTGAAAATAAAACAATTAAAGAGTATATAAGTTGGAATAACACTTACCTTACAAGTTGAATTGTATGGTTGAGTGTTAGACTTGTAATCTACAATCTTAGAATTTAAAAGATTATGTATGAGGCATTAAAATAAAAGATTATGAATTCTTAAAATATAGAATTTATAATAAATTTTTTTAATTTTTTCGTAAAAAATATTCCTGCAGAATTTCTTGCGAAAAAATTCGCAGGAAAGTTTCTTGCGAATTTTCCTGCGAATTTTTTTTTGCAGGAAAATTTCCTGCAAATTTTTTTTTGCAGGAAACTTTCCTGCGAATTTTTTTCGCAGGAAATTTCGCAGGAAAATTTCCTGCGAATTTTAAAATTCGCAAAAATATATTATCCACGAAGGTATTACCTGCGAATAAAATTTCGCAGAAAAATTTGCAGGAACAACGTTTCCTGCAAATTTTTATAAAAAATTCGCAGGAAAAGTTGCATGTAATAAGAGAAATTCTAGTAGTGCAAAAAGGGAGAAAAGAGGAAGAGAGGAAAAGAGAGGGGGAGTGAGAGTGAGAGAGAGAAAGAGAAATAGAAGGAGAAAGAAACATTTTTTATTTTTAAAAAAATTATACTATTATATACATAAA